TTCTGCTCACATTTCTCACGAGGAAACTTAAAAAATTACCCTGAAAAACAGTTAAATTAACATTTTGCACCCCATACCGCTAAAGCCTTTGTACTATCAAAGGGAGCCGAGTACGTTATTTTCAGACCATTACTAACTTTGATTATATTTAATAGTCAAAGAAGTGATGTTTGGTTCCTTTCGATGTGTAAATAGGTCTAAAGAAAAAGCATGCAGGTGCGATTTTTCGTTTAATACTGTAGTTTGTGATTCAAGAAGACACGCCACTCTCTATTGACTTGTATAACAGTGAACAGCGTTAACTCAGCAGAATCACAAAAGTTTCCTTGCGATGTTGAAAAATTTAGAGTAAGATCTCTTCGGACGTGTCCAATTAATAATTCAAGGCAATTTAGTGTTAACAACTGAGTTGAAAACGTAAACTAACCATTGTAAAGAGTTTAAATGCACCTTTCGTCAGAACTTTACCATCTTACATTAAGGAAAGCCAACACGCACTTGAAATTTTTCGTGACTTTCGTCATATTACATCTCTTTATATTTTCGTTCCCAATGACGAAGGTCTCCGGGCCCTAAAACATTTTTTCGATCAACGCACTGTTAGGGAACCTAGCTCTGAAACACTACTCCTTCTAGCCGAAATAGTACTTACACTCTCTAGCTTTCCATTCGATGGTAAATACTACAAACAAACTAATGACAAACTAATGGCGTAGCTATGGGTACTAAATGACACCCAGCTACGCCAATCTTTTCGGAGGTTTTATCGAACATCAATTTTTTAGTCAATACCACGGCCCCAAACCTAAAGTCTACGGCCGTTGCATTGACGACTGCATCGGCGCTACCTCCTCTACCAGTCAGGACTACAAACGGCTGAGAAGGAAAACACTGACTGCATTCCATTTCACCCTCACAACCACGCTATCAGTCTTAAAAACTTTAAATCGCTCCAAAACGATTCTGAGACTGGTAGTATCTTTTCGCAACCTCCACTAATTTCATTCAAACGTGAAAAAAACATGGGTAACTTTTCGGTCAGAAGTTCATTTTAAACCAGTGACCAATCTGTAACTTTCAAATGCGCTCGCTCACGATGAAAAACTTGTCCTTTCATTCATAACGTAGAAAAAATGTCGGGACCCTAGAAATCCATTAAAATCACTGATCACTTTACCTGCTCCCCCGTCGATGTCATTTACCGCATAATTTGCATTTATTGCAAAAAGGTATACATTAGTGAAATAGGTAGACGACTAGGTGACCGATTCCAAATTCACCTTCGCGACGTAGAAAGAAATGACAAGGACA